AATTCCATATTGCTGTGATATTTGTTAATGTTGCCTGATCAAAATAAAATTTATAAAGTAAATCTAATTTATAACGAAATATGAAGGACACATATGTGACTAGACTTAACGGCGAATACATTGTATGTACATATTTATATTATATTTATTTTAAAATAAAATTTAAAAAAGTGGATTGATTTGGGGATAAAAATAAATGCAGTGTAGATACATGAATATGCATGTAGAAAATTGAAATTAAGTAGTTACTAGGATTTTTTGTTGAATCGCAATTCAGTTATGAAATATATGTCAATATATTTAATGCATTTAAAAGTCACGATTTCAGATACTCTCAATTTTTACTTTTTTTTTTTAAATTAAAATAATTTTATTTTTATTTACGTGTTCGTAAATGTATGTGGAAATAAATTAAAATGTTCAACAAAATTTATATTCAAATATAATTTACAGACAATACGATCTTTTTCAATAGGAAATGTAGCTCAAAGAAATTAAGGGAAAAAGAATTACAGAAGTTCTAATATGAAGCCTTTTCCCCATTTTAGCGTCAATCGACCTTCATTGTAATGATAACATTAGAACATGGCCCTGACACAATGAGCAAGCAAAAGAAAGGCATTGTCTACCTTTTAACTACCCCAAAGAGGGGGCCGGCAAACACAATGCAGTTCTACAAAGTTCAGGAATTAGCGTATACACCGTTCTCCCTACAGAGCCATTTTGCCATAACCTTGGTAAATGAAGGGATGCTTAACGATTTATTGGAAAACTTGAACTACCTTTCAAATATCGCGAGCAGACATCAACACTGTTGATAAGCAAAGGTTACCCTAATTCACAGAGAGAGAGAGAGAGAGAGAGAGAGAGAGAGAGAGAATTTCTCCAACATTTATTGTTGAGATAGTGAGAAATTCGCACGTATTTATGTCATCACAAAATGTCACATGAATTAAAAAGCAAGAAAAAATACCTCATAGAGTATAAAACATAATACAATAAAAGTTATTGAACAGTTATCTTCATTATTCTGAAATAGATAATATACACTGTTGACAGATTTATGCTCAATGAAATCACCAAGCTGTGGCTGTAAGCAGTAATGAAGAAGACTGTAATCCGAATTTATATTACTTCTAAATGATGAGTAATTTCAGAAAATAACTAATGATATCCGTATTATACAGCTGTATTGAGAGGGATATGGCTAATAGAGGTAGCTAGATTTGCTTAATTTTGTTTTCTAAAAAATTAATATTGCTAAGCTGTTTTGTTTTTGTTTGTTTCTTTTTTTTGTTTTGTTTGGTTTTGTTTTGTTTTTTTGAAGAAATAGAAAAGTCCGTAGAGGGACAGAATTAAAATACTGCAATACTATAAATGATGGAAAATCAGGTTGTAATTGGAAAGATGTTAATATACGTCATAAAATTGCGAATTCTTACACTCTTTAGTTGTAAGTTATTTGATCCGAACGAAAAATACGAAAGTAAAAGCTTAAAAATACAAATCGTAATAAATACATAAAATATCATTCTTTATTTTTTTTTTTCATATTTTCAACATATTTCAGTATAAAATTACAAATAATTTCACGATAGAAAATGGAAGACTATTTAGATAAATTTATTATCTTTATTTTTTCTTCATACATGCAGGAATACAGTTTAAAAATATATTAAAATTAATTCAAGAAAAGATTTCTTGTTGCATATTATTCTATAAATTAATAAAAATTATTAATTGATTTTCTAATCGAAATGATACTTCTCTTCATACTGAAAAAAAATATGATATTTCTAAAGCTAGAATAATTTTTCTACTATAAGCAGGGAAGACTTACGCGGCTTTTAATTAAGCTATTGTTAATTTCGCTCTCTTGTAAATATTATTTCGTGTTGTGTTTTTTTATGTTTTTTTTTAAATTTCTCTCTAGCAAAGCACTTCGGACAGATTAGATATTTTCTATGTTTGCGGGTTATATGAAAAAGATATTTTAATTGAAATCAGGTTCTATAAAATAATGAGCTGAGGAAATAAAGGAAATATTTCACATTGAAATTGAATAAAAAATTTATGTCATTGTAAGCTGCGGAATAGTGTCAGAATCCAATTATAGCACTACCCTGACAAATTCTATGAAATTACAATTCTGTCGTAAAATTGTTAAATTTACACCGACTATTCCCAATTTTGTATCTGTGCTGTGAATTTTACAAGGTGATAATAGAAAATTTGCTTTATTTAGGGACATAAATCGCACGAAATTTGCCAGCAGCGACGACGAATGGCGAAACTGTACAATACTGCTTAAAAGTAGATGATATAACAATATCACGTTCATTTGATGAAAACCCGCTCTAATGTGTAGACAAGGGGAAAAAAGGAGGGAAAATAAGAACAGCTTTACAACAGTCATTGTAGAAAAGGCAGTTTCAAAATAATTAAATAATTTGCTTGGTCTGCTGAATTTTTAAGTTTAATTCGAGACACTGTTAAAAACCTCTTTTCCAACATAAATAAGAAAAATTGTGTGGGGTCGGGTTGATTTACGACACCATTTATCGAGAGGGAAAACTCGCTAGTTTACTTAAATATACAAAGGAATAAATCTTTTTGAAAAATAATGCACATAGTTGACACGGATTAACATATTCACAAAATTTAACAACAATTCAGTATATTCAGGTATTTTGGAGAAAGTATTTTGGCAATAGAGGTGGTTAATTATGGCGTCCATTTGCCTACTCGTCGCCGTGTGTAATAGCCCAGATATGAATTATGATATAACCTCACACATTGAAAAAAACTCACATAATGCCAAATGTGTTAAAATTAACAAAGAAATATTAGCTTTTTTCGCAGGTTAACTGTTGTTTAAGAAACAGTAAAAGGTCACAAAAAAGTTTACAAGATTAATCAAAAAATATATACAGAGTAGGAAAAAAACTTTAAGAAAAACACACTTTTATATATATTTCAAAGATAAATCGAAAGAATCAATAGATGAAAAAAAATGAAATATTTAAAAAGTAAAAAAAAAAATAATGATAAAAGAATAGCAATTTAAATTTCACTTTGTTGTGCCTAATTCTTTAAAAAATTGAATTTTAGATCTACAGCTTATTATCGGCAAGATCTATAGTGTTAAGCGGGAGATAACTCGTACAGGAGTGATATGTACTATATGGCGAATGATTTAAGTTTTAATGATATGATTAATTTTTAATATGGAATCACAAATTACACTGTACAAGAAAATAATATAATATTCTTCACCATTAAAAATTTTTGATAATTGTAAATCAATTCTAAGATGAATCAAAAAGGAAACTTATCATTAAGATTCGTTTATAGTGCATCAGATAAACCAAATAAAACTAAAATCGGAGGCGAATAATAAATACATCTAGATAAATAAAAAATAAATCGACTCGCCCACAATGTGACAAAAAGCATAATGAATAAATAAATAAATAAATAAATAAATAAAAATTTTAAAAAACCCCATAAATAATAAATAAAATAAAAATTAAATAAATAATTTAAAATAAATCAATAAATAAATAAGAAATACATAAATAAACAAACGAACCAGAAATTTGATAATGAGTTTCGTAAAATGCTAAAAAAAATAAAATGAAAGGAAGCTGAAATCTTATAAAGAAAAATGAATTTAAGAAAAATGCCAGTGAACGCTTCTTGGGACAAAGTTAGTCTGAATCAATAAAGAAAAATAGAAATTTTAAATATCCGATAACTTAATTGTTTTCGGAAAAAAGAGCAATATTGATATGCTCTTTGGCAACCAAGAATTTGAGAAGAATTTTTTTTGTTATATGTTTTATATACATAGGGTCTTTGAGACGTAAGAAATACACAATGTGATGTTAATGATAAAGAAAATAATTTATAAAAAAATTATATAGCAACTTATTCTATCATTTAGGGTATAAATAAGGGTATAGTATTGTGGAAAACTGTAAAATTTTATCCCCCTCTAACACTACTCTAATGGCATGAAAATGAATACAAGATATAAATACTGACACAAAAGTAATTATGTCTGGAAAAAGTATCAATATTTACCGAAAATTGAAATCTACGCAAAAAAATTCGTTTCAAAAATCTTCTTGGGCGTCCTAGCTTTTATCTCGTTATTTACGGGATGTTTTATGTTAAGTTTGCCCCCATCACTTAACAGATGAAAGAACCCCAAGTACTGACTAGTCTTAACAAATCTAAAGCAGGGGTCATAACCGCGGAATTTTGATGTTCAGTTTATGACCAAATTTTACCGATCGAGGTCGTAAAAATGTACAAAGATATTGCTGTAGGTTCGTTGCTATGTTGTCCAGGCCGATACGGGTCGATTTGGCAGCATCCCCGGGGGTCAACAATTCTAACATGTCTTGATTCTATCAAATTGAGAAAATTATCTTTAACATGTTACGAACCCCAGATTTCCCCTGTCAGAAAACCAAGTTTCTGTCTTGGAGACTTGTATTTGTTAAAAGTAAAAAAAAAAGAGAGAAAAGTTTTTTAGTTTTTCATGAGACAAGTATGTTATTTGTTGAAAGTATACATTACAATGTTGGATTCAATTTAATAATTGACCAGATATAAAAATATTGCTTCGATCTCTTTCATCTGAAAACATCAATGTGAAAATCAAAAGACCTCGCACCATTCCCGTATGTTTGACTTTCACCCTCGAATGCCAATAAACGACCGTTAAATTCGAGTAAAATACAAAACCCCGTAATTTTGTCGAGCTTATCAAACGTCAAAGAAGAAAATTAATTCGAGCTTTATACTTAAAAGTTCTATCAATTTTATTTTATTGAAACTTAACGACCAGATGTAAACACTTACTTGGCTCAACTGACTGAATGACCAGAGTAAACCTGGGACAAATAACAGCCTACGACAAAAGAGCAGCGACACCTTATCCTACTGCACATTGTGCTTTGTCTCTAGAAAAACAACAAATTGGAACTTACCAAGGGCACATCAATCTAGCCTGGCACTGTTTTAACACGAGTTGTTCCTCTTTGCACAGAAACACATGAAAGTGATGTAATAATCCTATGGCGGTTTATATGAAAACACAATTATAATCCAATTTCGACAACACATTACAGAGAAATCCTGACCGTAATTATGTTCCATGTTTATCTGTAAAGAAAATGAAAAAGAAAATGAAATGTTTCTTTAAAAGAGTAAATGTTTTAAAGATCTACAATATTTTATAAAATGTCCAAAAATTTCCAATATTTTACTGTTTTGTGCAAATCTTAGAGTATGAGATATTATATAAAATTACAATAACAATCATAGTCATATTTTCAAACATGGAAAGATATGCACTCTTACATTTTTTTTAAAGAATAGTCTTTTACAGTCTATCTGTAGGTGTAAAATTGATAAATTAAAGACATTTTGACGTACACGTTGAACAATTCAAATTTTGCTTTTACAAAATTCTTTAATAAGGATATGACATGTGATGGGGAAAAGAGGCAACAGTTTTCTGAAAGTGTCTCTACCACACGAAGACTAGACAATGTTAAGTGACAGATTTCTGTTTCCACAGAACTAATCGGGACAGCAAAAAAGGCTAGCAGACAGAGGTACAGTGTCAAAGTTGTCTGTCAAACGGAGGATCTAATTCATTTAATTGATTGATAAAAATGTCATTGAAGGAAATTGTCAGAGAAACGCTAGGGAGGGTCTGCTAGAGATGTACTTTGTCATTAAATAACATTCATTTTAATTTGTTAAATACAGGTCTATACGCCCACGCGTAAATCACCCTAGATTAATGAATGAATGACAAATCTATGTAGTTTGTGTCTTTGAGAGTGTTTAATCGTCAACAAAGAAATTCAGACATGTTGTATTTTTTTTTTAAATCTCTAAAGGACTGTATTCTGTAGTGGCCAGTATCTGCCCCCAAAATAAAACTTTGATGGAGAAATCTTTTATTATGTTCTAAACCAGGTGGATATTTGCAGACTTCAAAGCATTAAATATTTTTATCAACTATGACATCATTAGTTAGATATGACGTCAATAAAATGACGTAAATTCCAAATTGCAATGATTTTGAGAGAAAATAGTGTATTTTACGTCGGTATTTTGATTGGAAATTATCGAGCGCAGGTCTGCTCAGACTAGATCTTTTGATATAATGTGTAGAATGATAATATCAATGAAATATGTGAATTTGGTACCTGAGCAAGCTTGCGCTCTATAAATACTACAGTCAAATTTGAACAAACTCTGTGCATTTTGGCCTCTATTTTAAAAATAACGGAAATCCAAATAGTTTGTGACGTCACAGAGACAAGAAAAGCCAACTAATTTTTCCAATTTCATAATATATTGTCTTAATTTGGATTATTTTATACAATATATGCACTTTTGCTCATTTCAAGAGATTTTCAAAATTTGACTATTATGGGGGCAGGAATACGCCCTTACCGTATATAGTTCTTTAATACATTTAAAAAAAGAGTTTTTTCCTTCTCAATTCATCTTTTCCACAGTTGCAGAAAAATGGAAATGGAAAAACTGCCTGTTGCTTTCATTTTTTTTTTCAAATTCAATCAAAGAATTAACAAGTGGAACATTATCATTTCTACAAAAATATCTTGAATTAGCTTCACTGCTGTTATTTGTAAATTTTACCCACATAAATAATCGCATTGTAATTTATAACATTTTTCAACAGTGAAATACTTTGACAATTTACGATATCATCCTCCTAATTACAACTTGTTTCAAGTCATTAAAGAAAAACAATTGTCAGACACAGTACCTTGAGTATGTTAAGAAAATGTTTAGTTTTAACTTTACTACCTTTTTAACCTGAATTTCTTATGATATACTGGTTGCTTCAATTTCTGTGTTAGTCAATTTATCGCAATATTTTGTATTATTATTTGTATTTTATATACGGATTTATTTTCATGTTGTCTTAATCATAAAAAGTTAAAAATTCTGTAAACTTTAGACAAATCACAATTTAACATTTTTTATAGTGTCTTAAATATAGATATTTAAAATATGTCATAAACATGTAATTGTATATTTCTTACAGTTGCAACATTTTATGCTATTTATTTGATTCATTATACAGAATGTTACTTGTTGTTTTGAATTTTTATCGCATTAAACATCGGACAAAAATGCAAAAGTATGTTAATTTTGTAATTTTTATGCACAAAAATCTTATTTACATTATTCAAACTTGCTTTCATACAACAATTACACGAACAATCAAGTATATTTGATAATTTAAATGTCTTTTCAAATATATATATATATATATATATATTCTTTGCAGGAATATGATAATACATTGCAGACTAAATAATTCTAAAGACAAAATTGAGGATTTCTAAAGTAAAGGAGACTTTTGACGCAGCGCTAGCGCAAGTACATTAATATGTAGATTGTTTAGACTTGTATTTACTGAAAGGACAGCCATTTGCACTATTCATTTTAAGTCACACAGTTCCATCTATTTATATATTGCGAACAAATTACCAAAAAATGTACTTTTATTCCTGATTACTAACATTTGGATAGCGAACAATACCGTCCTCTTCAGTTTTCTGTTAAACATAGGAAGGTTAAGAAATTAAAAGAGCGGTATTTTGAAATGCTGGATAAATGTCTTTTTAAGATATTGCATCTAAAGTTACATTATACCCGTAAGTTGTCTATTAATGTAATTATGACTTTAAAAATAATAATAATAATAACAAAAAAAAGAAATCGATATAAATTATTTACAGGTAGGGCATTTAAACGATTGAGAGTTTTTTTTTTTGCTAAGTGTTTGAATTCTTATCATCATTTGAGATTTTTTTTTCTTTATACTTCGTGCGCTAACATATGTATGAACTAAAGTTTATTTTGTAAAGTTAAAAAATATATATAAACTATTTGTTTTTTGATTTATTATAGAGCCATGCTAGTCAGATTCTTTGATAATTATCCAAAAGTTCTTTTCATTTTTCAAATATTTAACTTTGAAATTCAAATGTTTCTTTTAAATAGAAATTAATTCTAATTTTTCATGTGATTCAAGGAAAAAAATATCTACTAACTTGTAGAAGAAATGATTTTTAAGAAGTAAAAGGTTTGCGGTTTTAAAATTCAGACGAGTTTATCGATCGCATGGATGATAGTTGACTTAAAAAAATACACAGAAATTCTTTTTGATTACTTTAAATTTTCTAAATTAAATCCGATATTGATCAATCAATAAATCACTAGCTCTGATTTAGAAAGGCCCTAGGAAAGTCAAATGATCGAATCATTCCCACGTTATGCCTTTAGAAGTTTTCCATTTTGGTAAAATATTTGAGGTCAATTGATTTAGGCCACACAAGAATTAATTTAGAGGTATTCGACGAAACCACCTAGGTTTTAACAAGTGAAGATATTGTTTGAAGTTATCATAATTTATTTTGCTTTTAAGCTCTCAATTACAAATATTTAACACTATCAAAGTATAAATTAAAGAAATCTCATTTGAAAAAGAAAGTACTCTTTAGATAATTTATTATGTACTTGATTAAAGCTCAGGTATTGTATAGTCAATTATATTATACAATAAATTTGCCGTAAAAAAACTACGATATCGTCCTTCGAAATACAACTTTATAGACTTCCACTCAGAACATACGCGCATTGGTTAATGACAAAGAAGTGCCGTAGAGAAATGTATCTGTAAGTAAAAATTCTGAAAATGTATAAGATCTTACCTAAAATGAAACACACGAGTTTATTAACTTACCTTTCTCTAACACCTTTCTCACTATAAACTGTACTTAATAAAAAGATCATCAAAATTCAACAATCGAAAAATGAGCAAATGTTTTATATTATACATAATCACATAATACAAAAAAGAAAACGATCAATTACCGCGTATTAATTATATTTTCAATATTCATGAGATAGGACGAAAAAGGAGTAAAAGTTATTCCTATTTCTTAATTCGAATAAGATAGGCGTAAATATTTAAAAAAAATTCTAACTAAGTACATATATGTAAATCACATGAAAAAAAATCTTTAAGAACATATCTTGAAAAAATGAAACTAATAGGATTTTATTTACATTTGAACATCAATGTTATTTACCAGATATACTAGTATTCTACAAGAAAATGCAGAAGTAATGCATACCTTTTTTCTTTGACTATTAGATTCTGCAAACATTAACTGTGAACTCAGTTCATAAAATAAGGTACAGTTTAAATTGACGAAATTATAATTCTTAAAATGGGGTCCATTATATTTTTCATGAGCAGAATTTAATTGTTTTTCCGGGATTTTATTATTTTGAGGACGCCATCTGCTCCGCTTTAACGCTCCATGCTTTGGATATTTGGCAGTGCATTTTGTATCAATAATATAAACAGCGTGATAGTATGAAGTACATTATTTTTTACAACATTTCTTAATTGCAAAGTCTAATAGAGGTTTTGTAGATATTCAAATTTTCTACTGTACCAAGTTTACAACACTATTTCTTGATCAGACAAACGGTCAAAAGAAATAAATTTATGCATGTTAAACTTTTATGAGTGTTGGGAGGGGTTTTAGGAACATATCTAACAAAGAGTGATATATGGGATATCCATTGAAAAATATTTCTAACATATCAATTGTTACTTGGATTCCACTTAAATTTTCCAAAACCCTATCTCATGTTTTGAAGTCATCATACAAATGAGAAAAGTCCACACAGCAAAAATAACTTTCAACAATAAAGAAAAGAATAAATTGTGAACTTTCGAAATATTTTCAATTAATTCATTGTTAAATTATTTCCTTTTATTACACAATCGGGAGTTGTAAATATTCAACATTTATTGCCATTTCAACAATTTGAATAGATTTGACTGGTAGTCGTAAAATGAATAATACGAACACACAGTAGAAAATTATGTTATTAAATCATTTCTTACTTGTAACACTAATCCATAGAAGTATACACGGTTTATACTGTGACGTAATATTATTCACGTGGAATTTAAAAATTCCTAGTATAATTTTCATAATTTCTATAAATAAACACCTACTGACACTAAAATATTACGAGGCGGGAGTGAAGTTAGATTTCTTTAATTCAAGGATTTCATGAATAACTTATAGTTTTATAACCGGTCATTATAGCCTAGTGGTAGGGTACTCGATTCGTTATAATTATTGTGATGCCCAGCTTCAATTCTCGTTCACCGCGCTACGTCAAACCTAAGACGTAAACGTTATTAGTGACTGTTCCTTCGCCAACAGCATTAGAAGTGAAAATTACGGCTCTTTCGGATGAGAATTAAAATCGAGGTCCCGTGTCACGGTAGACGTTGGCAAGATAAAGAACCCTCACTGCTCAGTGGCACTGAGTGCAGAGTAAAGGTCTTTTGAAGCCCTTCACCGGTATATGGTGACGTCTCTATATGAGTGAAAAATTCTCGAATGCGACGTTAAACAACATACATTAAATCAATACAGTATTATATGAATAAAAAAATTCAAGCTCCTGTACTCTTCTTATTCAAAAGTTAGAATTCTTTTAAAATTTTGATGCCAAAAAATGCAAAATTATGGAGTCGGACAATACATATTATGGGACATTGAAATGAATTGAAAACAAAACATTTGGAGGCCATCTAAGAAAGTAACTCCAAAATCGGAACCGTGATAAAATTATTTTCATGAATAAAGAATTTAGAAATGTTATTCATAGCATCGATTCATTATATACTGAGTTCAATGTATCATAATTGTAAATCTACGTCACAGGTTTTATAAGGTGTGCTTGGCTCGAAGCAGTTATCGACTAATAACGTACAAAATATGATGCCATACTTATATTGATTACCTTTAACCAAATAATTGGAGAATGTTTGCTATTGCAAGCAATAGCATAGGTTTTCTTTCTCCGTTTCCATGGATACAGCGGTCATTTTAAAATGTTGGATTTAAAACTTTTTTGTGGTTAGTACTATCATTAGTGTGAAGTTCCATTAAGATTAGCCATCTGCGAGACCGAGACTTCCTGTGGACAAAATGACACTGTAACCGGGACAATATAAATATGTCCCTGAACTTTGTTCTGGTTGACAAAAAACAAAAGAAAAAAAATAATACTAAATTTTACTCTTACTCAGAATTTACTTGAAGAAAAAATGAAATGTAAACAGCAACAATATTGTCTAATATAAATATTCTTTTCTTCAAAGAGATCCACTGATAAAATGTTTTTTTTTCGGTAGTGTAGTACTTAGAAAGAAAAATGGTGCATAATGAAGCATGTCATTTTTTAAATAACAACGTTTTCTTACGTCAGAAAGAGTAAATATGACATTACTGTCATGCATATTTGAAAAAAGAAATAGTGTATATATGTTTAAAATGTTTTCTGTGTAAGACTATTGTAGGGATATTTTGATATATTCACCTAGCAGAATTGTTGTGAGTCTACAATGGCTACCTGGATACTGTAATGTCTTTGCACAGCTATCAGAACTTATCTAGATATTTCCTCAGTTACTTCCATATTTCCTTGGCGGAAGTTTACCAGACTACTTTTTAGCTGCTCTAGAACGCCTGTGCAGTTCATTTGTCTGTGGTTGTGCGGCATTTTATCTCCGACATTAATCAGAATCACACCGGGGAACCATATAGGGAAAGATTTATATATCTTTGTGGTAGGTATGGCAGGCAATGCTGGATATGACTACAGCCTTCTGTGTAGGACACGCGCTGTAGTACAGACCCTGTTGATGTTTTGTTTATTACAGCTCTTTGATACTTATTCTTATAATGCATGAAGAATTATGTAAAGTAAATTATCATAAAACGTGGAATTTGAATATTCATATTATTCATATTTTATAATTTTACTCGTTGGACCGTATCCAAACTTTCAAAAAAATAATGTTTGCAATGTTGGTGGTATTGAAAATCGTCCGAGTTAAAGAAATAAAGTTGTCAGGAAGAACGACCAGAAAGTTAGAATTATTATAAAAGGACGGGCCCACACACATAAGAAATGAGTTAAACCCTGATTTAGGTGGCATAAAATTGCCCGAAGAACTTCTGTTAAAGTGAGATGGAATGGAGAAGGACCAACACAGGGAAAGTTTTCCGTTGTCAAAAATTCTTAAGTTAAATAATAAAGAAGTTAAAATATTTATTTTAAATTTTTATTACATGGATTAAAAAAATATTTAAAAAACATTATCGAGATTTTCTTTATATTAATTTCTTTTTAAGTTAATCAACTAATAAACTAACTTTTCTGCCCTGTTGCAATTGACAGACTCCTAACCTTTACCTGAAATGCGTCAAATTACAAGTTGTGTTAATTGTTCTTTAAAATCAATACAAAACCCCTTAAAACACATAAATTATTAGGTATTCATAACAACAACCGAGTTTTTTTTAAAATTCAAAAAGAAATCAAACTTTTTTATGCCATGATAGTAAAAATATTTCCAATGGTAATTTTGAGCCTCAATAATTAGCTATTGTTTTCACAGAAAAATTAAGATAACATATACTCACAGTTTAACATCGCCATCACTAAAAGGATATACAGAAAATGTTAGAGGATGTGTCGTTCACCACACATTTGGTCACATACCATGGAAATAATAAACGGTTGGAAATCTTTATTACAAATATCATCGTAAATAAAAAGAATGCGACAACCGTAGACTACACAGAATTTTCCCGGAATTTTATGATCTTAGTCTTCTGGCAAGATAGGGTTTTTATATCTATACCTCTTTCTTACATAATTGACTCGCCTCTGTATCCACATCTCTTTTCCATTTAATTATATTCCTCTCATAAAAAGAGAAGTGCACGTCGCCCCCGAAAAAAAAGTAAAGTTCATTACATTCATTTTATCAAAGACTCAGTTAAAATGTGCGTTGTTTTGATTAAAATCTGCATGTTCTAGTCATAAAATATACACTCTGTACCGTTTTGTTTGGCGGTTAGTTGTCCCATCATGGTAGGTACTTTACATTATAGACTGAACAATAAAAATTATGGAGAGAAGAAGGATCTTAATTCATTTAGCTGGCATAAAAAGATCCCAACATCATTTCTTGTTGTGTGAGAGAGTGCATACATTTCAAGTGTGCGTGCACATCCATTGAAGTTGTTGATGTGATTATTTGAAAAAAAATAACGTGACAGAGAGTCAATGAAAGGAGAATTGAGACCAGATTATTTTCAGTGGGGCTAAGACAAATCTTTAGTCAAATAAATCCTTGTTTCCATCTGTCTTTGAAAAACGTTATCAGTGCAAGGCGTCAACGTAGTTTTTTGAAAAATCGATCTATAGTTTACTTGCAAACCTGAATCTCAAAACCTTATCATGTTACCAGCTGAACAAAAGTACATCTCCAACAAAACATTTACTGTAACCTATATATGACTTTTAGATATTCTCAGAAAAATAGAGACAATGAAGATACATGCAGGAAACAGAAATCATGTTCAAAAGTTCACTCAAAAATACAAATTGTGAGCAGAGCAAAAACGGACCTCTGAAAACATCATGAGTAGGATAAGGTGCCATGGAAGAGTAAGCATCCCTGTCGAGCGGTCACACACATCGTGTGCCCCTTGTCATGATCGGGTAAATGGAGAAATCGTATACAATTCAGTATGATAATGTCAGTCTACATTCGACCTAATGGAGAATTGCATTTGCAAACAAGCTCATTGTATCGATCATAGAATTTGCAAAGTATTGACTTAAAGTGATTGATGATATACCATTTTATAATCAACTTAATTTTCAGTAGCCTGCCTCGTTTTGAAATTGTTCCTAGAATATTCTCATGTCTATCAGTCAACTGGGAGATATAAATCCCATATGCATAAACAAATAGAAAGATATCAATTTGGTAAAATCAATATTGATCAGTTTGGCTATCAGAAGTCTTTAAAATTACTTGTTTTGTTTAAGATTTTCATATATAATCGATTGTAAACATAATAGCATACATGTAGTCATTAAATAAATATTTACAGTAAAAGCTATAGGAAACAAAGGTCAAAGCTTCTGGGAAAAGCTATAGAATACAATGACAGAGACTTAAATGTACAAAGAAAATTATTTTCCTTGAAAGTCAAAAGAGTAATTTTTTTCGTTTGATGTTCACTGTGTGAAAAAAATACAAAGGAAAAAAGTTGAAAGACTGTAGGGTAAATTTCGACTTTTGCAATTCACACATCTAAGTTATCAAAACGTAGGGCTTATGCGACATGCCAAATTCAGCCCTTCCCTCTTTATATTGTAATGCTTTATTTGTTTTTTTCCCTTGAATTATGGGCTAGAAAGATTTTTTAAGCTTCCTGACTTTGTAATTTCTAATTTGTGAATTCATAAGTCAAGTGACAAAGGCTCAAGAGAGGATTACGACATCCTTCTGTCTATAGTCTTCTTTGCAATAAGTTTTATTTCATTTGAAAGTTGGATAATTAACATTAAAAAAATTCTAGTAGATAAATAATTTATTAATCATACTAAGCAGACCCTAGAAACAGATAACCTCCTAAATAAGAACACTGTAGTACAGATAAGTCCTTGACAATATTTAGTTGAAAGTAAATTATACAAACGCACAGTCATCATGTAGAGTGACCATCAGGAAATATCGAGATAAATGAAGTATGGGTTTAGGAAAGAAGTAAAAAAAAGTTCTGCTTAGATTGTGCATATGCATAAGATACTTTATCTTTCAAAAGTCTACCATGACAGTAAACATTTCACTCATTAAATGCATTTTTTATGGAAAATTTGGAATGAAATTTTTCTGGTGATTTTCATGTCTATATTTCAAATGTGTCAGTTTCTCTGCGTGGCCTTCAGGTAACTCAACTTTTAGCACTTTATCAGAGTTTCAAAATATTACATCAAAACAACTTAACTATTTTCTAACAGGATAACTATGGTAACGAGCAATAACATATTTCAGACATTGTATCATGGCTTTAAGAAAAAAAAATACATTTAACATATCAGGGACATATATACGCTAATTATATACGTCCCTGATAATTAAAAATTAATTATAATTGGAAAGGACATGAAAAATATCAGATGAAAGAAATCATTTTTAAATGTAAAATTTGAATTTATGTTGGACTGTTACATATAACCCAAAATAAAAATCTACACAGAGGGACTGTGTATTTTATAAATCTTAAGACTTGAGGTCAACAAACCGACAGTTGTAATTATAATAATTATATTCTAACCATCACTGAAATTCAAATGAAGTTTGATTTTCTACTTAATTTCTATAAATCCCCCCTTCTTCTAGTAACAAAACTAGTTTAAATGCAATGCACAACAGATTACATGTATAAAGATAAATAGAGGGTATTCAATGTTTTGTAGTTGGATATGGAATTCATTTCACGAATGAGAATGAATTTTTTGATATTTTCACTTGTGAAATGAACTCCATATCCAATTACAAAATATTGAATTTTCTGTTTATCACATTTTCTTTGATTTTTCCCTTAATTCGCCTCTGTCTTTGCGTAACACAGTGCCATAGGTTGTTATGTCATAGTTTAGCGGCTGAGACGTCATCGCTTAGAGATTGGAAACATTGAAAACATGGATTTCAAAAACCTTAGCCGGTTTAGCCTCTATCATGATAGTTTATTTATCCTCTTTTATTTTATAACAAGACAGAGAGTATTTTAACAAGACTCTTCGTGAATGAAAATCTTGAGTTTTGCCACACTTCTGATATTATTTCACATTGTGACAAATATCACTTTGATACTCTTTCTCACTGTGACAAAATATCACCCTTTATCCACAAATTAACTACAGTATATCGCTGTTGAAAATAAATCATTTAATAGCAAAGCACAAAATCTAGCAGATTACAGATTTTAGTATTCATTGGCTTGAATTTTTGATAATAAGAATAGGCTTCTATATAAGATAAAATTATTTACATTTTAATGTATGTACCGGACATTGCTTCAATGATTCTATCCTAAGTTTATCCTCCTAGAATAGATAGAATTATTATATGACACAGTCTTTTGTCTATCGAGTTTGAAATGAAAAAAAAAAACGTGTTTTACTACTATTCCAGTCAAGCATGAACTCTAATTGCTTATGACCTTTGTAAATTAAAAAAAAAGTTTTGCAGAAATACATAATACGTTAGTTACTTTCAGATGTGCCTGTACCTGACTGTTGCCGATATAGATCAGTTGCCATGTTTTTAAAAAAAAGTTTGACGAATTCTTTAATTGAGGCGTTCAAGAAATGCATTTATTGAGTGATTGTTACCTATTTGAAATTGCGCAAACATCCATGTTGTGGTTAATATTTGAGTCAATAGAGAAATCATATTCGTCCTAGTGGATTAAAGGTGAAGATCAATAATAGAATAGTGCAGAGGAACACTGATTCGAAAGAAAACAAAGGATCGAATCACAACAGAACATATTTTAAAAAAAATTAATATCGACGCACTGTTCAGTGTTCAAGCAAATAAGCTGCTCACTGACTATCTTTAACATAAACCTGTAGTGATTAAATGGGATGGCACATGCCTGTTTGCATGTAGATTAAATTTTAAGGAATTTGTTTAAACCGATCAGGCAAAAACGCGTTGTATTGATTACTAGTAAAGCATGGTTTGCTCAGATGTTCTTGAATTCTAGTTGATATACTGTATGACAACATCTCGTCCACACTGATAAAAGTCAATTAATCTAATACTTCCACGGTCACCGATCAACTAACACGTATTAGAAGTGAATTTTGTAAAGGTTCACATCCTAAATGCATTTCAATTTTGATTTTAACATTTCAGATCAAAACACAGCCAAAGCATCAAAGAAAAACGTAAAATGAAGGAATAATGCATCAATCAATGAAAATTGAAAGGGGATGCATCATAACAGTAATAGTATCTGGGAGACTGAGAATACAGGGAGCTTATTATAGTACAAATCAATAAGAAACACAGATAAGTATCAAAAGAAAGTTAAAGATAACATCTATCTGTATATTTAAAGCTCTTAATTCAGTCATAATTTTATTATATATATCAAGTAAAATGTTTGATGAAAGTATATATATTAAGTAAAATGTAATCTGAAAACTTAAAAACAAAAAGACTTACTATATGCACATAATCCGGGTATGGCTTAAAACGTACTGATCCTTTGTTAGTGTGCTCCGAACAGAATGATGCATTTCATTTCTCGGGGCATTGACGCAAACTTTCGAATTAAGATAATGAATAGGACACGTAATTTATTAAGTTTTGTTGATTTTATTGCAAGAAGTTCGTGGAGTGCGGGATAATAAAACAATAGTTAATTTCTATCAGTGGGGGCATAAAACTGGCAAAGTAATAATCAACCTGAAAATAAAACAACGGGAAAATAACAGTGTACCAGCACTGCAAGCAAAGGTGAGCACTTGGCATAATAAAAGAATAATCTCATCTATATAAAATAGGTCACAGAAAAAAAGATTCATTAGATTTTATTTAAGTTTTAGAAACATATGTGTTTTCCTGCTGTATCTATGACTTTGAAAAAGGACTACGACCTCCGCCATGTTGATTAATAATTCAGAAACAGCCTAAGTGCTGACTGAATTTACCGCCATCATGGCTGGGAGGTCACGGGGGAGCAGTGCTGTAGCGAAATTTATGA